GGCTTGAACTCAAGAACTATGAGATCATGACCTGAGCCAACGTCGGATGCTTAACTGACTGAGCCACCCAGGAGTCCCACAGTCTTAACCATTTTAAAGTATACAGTCAGTGGTATTAAATACATTCACATCATTATGCAATCATCACCACCATCAATCTCCAGAACATTTTTTTACATTCCCAAACTAAAACCCCATACTCATTCAATAATAACTCCCCATTCTCCCCTCCCTCAAGTCCCTGGCAGCTGCCTTTCCACTTTCTCTGTGAATCTGAATACTCTAAGTACCTCATATAACTGGCATGGTATAGTATTTGCCTTCTTGTGACTGGCTTCTTTCACTTAACATAATGTCCTTAAGATTCATACATGTTGTAGCATATGCTGGAATTTATTTTTAAGGCTAAATAATACCCTATTGTATGGATATGCCACATTTTGTTTGCCCATTCATCCACAGGTGTATGCTTGGGTTGCTTCCACATTTTAGCTATTGAAAATAATGCTGCCGTGAGCATGGGTATAGGAATATGAGTCCCTGATTTCAATTCTTTGGAGGATATATGCAGAGGTGGAGTTGCTGGGTTGTATGTTAGTCTATTATTAATTTTTTGAGGAGCCGTCAGACTGTGTTTCATAATATTTGCACCATTTTATGTTCCCACCAGCAGTGCACAACGGGTTCAACCTCACACCTCTTCGACACTGATTTTCTGTTTTTGTTTTTGTTGTTTTATAATAGCCTTTCTAATGGATGTGAAGGGGTAGCTCATTGTGGTGTTGATTTGCATTTCTGTAATGATGAGTGAGGTTGAACATCTTTTCATGGGCTAATTGGCCATTTGTGTCTCTTTGGAGAAATTTCTATTCAAGTCCTTTGACCATTTTAAAATCAGATTTTCTTTTATTGTTGACTTGTAGGAGTTCTTTGTATATTCTGGATATCCTTAATCAGTATATGATTTGCAAATATTTTCTTCAATTCTATGAATTGCCTTTTTACTCACTATCCTTTGATGCATAAAAGTTTATTGTTTTGATGTTGTTCACTTTATCTATTTTCTCCTTTGTTTTCTGTGCTTGGGTGTCTCTTTAATTTTTTTAAACCCAGGCCAATTATAAACTTTTCCTCGGGCTTGTTAATCCTTTTTTTAAAAATTTTTTAACATTTATTTATTATTGAGAGACAGAGCGTGAGCATGGGAGGGGCAGAGAGAGAGGGTGACACAGAATCTGAAGCAGGCTCCAGGTTCTGAGCTGTCAGCACAGAGCCCGATGCAGGAGCTGAGCTCGCAAACAGCAAGATCATGACCTGAGCTGAAGTCAGATGCCTTACCAACTGAGCCACCCAGGCGCCCCAAGGATTTTTCGATCTTACCTAGTCCATCTCCTTTTCCCCACCCCCATCTCCTTGATTAAACCTTCTTAGCCACCACTGAGCGGTCCACCAAGGGTACTCTGACTTGTTTCTAAGTTTCCTGTGGATTATGACTTATTTTGTGACTTCCCCTCAAGTTGCGGTGGGCAGGGGTGGGGGGAGGTCTTTATTAATCCTCTCGAAAAGAGCTCATTTAATAAACCTAAATTTATATTTATAGTGACAACAAATGTGATTCACTTAGTTAATAGTTCATGAATAGATAGATGAATGGATGCATGAAGAGTGAACCCGTGGACACACAGGTCTCTCCACCCCAGATTATCCATGTGCTGACCTTCTCAGACATTCTCAGTGTGTGTGAGATTCTGGTAATCTTCTAGTGGGCTCAGGGAAACCCGGGATTGGACTGACCTCTCCAGTATATTGTGAAGTTGACCACTAAAGATGATGGATGTCTGAGCCAGAGCCTGAGAATACTAATGTGAAAACAGATGAGAATGTGGCACTTTGGCCTTTTTAAACCTACTTTCACTGCATCTGAGTATGATAGGAAAAAAATAGGATAAAATAGGGAGATTAGGAACTGATGGTCCCTGGGATGGGAAAGACATATTTTGGAACAATGCTGGGAATGTCTGACCATAGCAAATCCCCTTAGGCAACTCCCCCTCAGGTTTCCTTCAGGAATTTGACAAAAGGCCTGACTAAAAATAAGTAGACCATAAAACCTATGACCCACAAGGAACTGGCCACCCCTCATACAATGGAAACTAGTCAATCAGGAATGGACAACCCAGCACCTAGAGTTATCCAGCCAATAAGGATAAAACCTGAGAAGGAACAAGGGGGAAGGGAAGGGGTGGGGTGACCAGAACCTTATAAAACAAGGACCCTTGCTTATTGTCAGCAGGCATTCACTTTCCAATGTCCCCTCTCTGTGAAGAGAGCTCTCCTACTATTCTTTCTTTCTAATCTTATATTTTAATAAAGTTTTGTCTGCTGCTCATTTTGTGTCCACCTCTTCATTCTTTGAAGTGGCAAGACAACGAATCCCGGGTATTGTGGTAAAAAAAAAAAAAAAAAAAAAAATCCTACAACATGGGGACAGGAAATCAAATTGGTACTGCTCATAATGGCTTATAAAAATTTATTTTTGTAGGTCTGTCTTCTCAGCTAGGTGGAAAAACTGTATTCCCAGGTGAACTTGCATTTAAGCAACAGATGTATTCCTTAATTTAACTAAGTAATACATCTGTCTTACCACCATTTGCTCAGCAAACAACAACAACAAACATTCAAGGGTTTATACTATGTGTCAGGCACCATACTAGGCTCTTTAAAAGCTTTATTTCTTAAAATTCGCTCAAAAACTTTATGAGATGATTCGCTATTCCAATGATAGAGTTAAAATTGAGTCTTAAGGGAATTGAATACCTTGCCATGGGTACCTCCCACATCTAGTAAGTGGCAGGGCTGGGATTTTTACTCAGGTAGAACTTCCTTCTAGGTTGGATTTCTTATTCAGCATGCTGCCTACTATGCACTAGATGCTAGAGACATAAAGATGAGGCAGCTATCATTGCCCATGAGAGTGTAGTGATAGAGATGTGAATAGTAGGTTGTGAGGACAACAAGAAGGACCACCTGCCCTTTGTGGGTGTTTAGGAAGTCAGGGAAGGCTTTCTAAGGAGGGAGGATTGAGTTGAGGCAAAGAGGAAAAGGTAGCACTGGAAAGGGGGAGTGGACATCTAATTGTTTTGCCAGCCCAGCACCATGTTCTTTTTCTGGGAATGACATCCCTCTTGTTTTGGGAACCTTCCCATCATGATATTCCTCAAAGATCTTACAAAGTTCCTGACTCTGATTGAGTGGTCTAGGGGTAGATACCTAAGCTCAAGCCAATCATAGACTTTCCCTAGTTTTTTTCAAACCAAAACTCTGAACAAACATCTATCCTTATCTAATGGTAGAAATTGAAGAATGAAACCCAGAGACTCTTGGCAGCTGGGTCTCCAGACATTGGGGGGATGATCTGGAGTGAGAAAGAATGAGGGCAATACAAAGAGGAATCAGGGACCACAGTTAGAGAGTTAGAGTCTTGGTAGCCTGCCTATTTCCTGGTTCCATTGTTTAATCATTTTTTTCTAAATAAGCAAGATAATCTGGATTCTTCTGATAAATTCTCCTATTTCCATGGTGACTTCATTTGGGTTTCTCTTACTTTTTACTGTAAGAGCCTTAATACACTTACTTAGTAATAGGCATGAATGGATGACTCTTAGCAAATGACTTAAAGTATCAGAAGCAAGCACAGCAAGAGGTGAATGGAGGAAGCCACAAATAGTTTGGTATTTGTCAGTGTGTAAACATTAAGATGAGAAGTGGTAAGAGATAAGGCTAATAAGTCGGCAGAAATCTGATCATGGGGTTCTGAGCGTATTTTGCAAGGGACTTCAGAACTTGATCCTGTATATATTCTGTTCATGCTACGGGTTCTAAGTAGGCATTAGGCAGAGGTTCTGGAAACTACACTGCAATTAGTAGTAATTAAGAGAGATTCTTCACCTGGGAGTCACAGGCAGGTTTTGGTTGTTCCCAAATCCAATGACATAGCGTGAAAAATCTGTGGGTGTGTGCAAGTTTTTTTTGTTTTTGTTTTTTTTTTTATGGAAAGTGTCCCCAACTTTCATCAGATATGAAAGCAGCCCCTGACCCAAAATATGTTGTGAACTGGTATGTGCAGGCATTTTGGGGAAAAACGGCTTCAAATATTCAGGCAAATCTCATTTCCCCCTTGATTTCCCAACAACTCTTACAAAACCGTTCAGCACAGAGAAAATGCTCCATAACGTTTCGGTTGGACATTGTCATAAGGGATTCTCCTTGGAGATCATGAACAGATGTAAAGAGATGATATAGACCTGGTTTATCTAGAGATCTTAACTGGTAATACTGGATACGACCTCTACCCTGTTCTTGACCTGGGCAGCCAGACCAGACCTACAGGCTTTTGGAAGTGGCACCTGGGGTACCACCGCTGTCCCCCAAAGCCAACCCAACTGCAAGTAAGTATCCTTGTCTTTCCACCGAGAGGAGGAGCGACTACAAGTCCCAGGATGCCCCGCTCTCGGAGCCGGGGCGAGGGCGGGGCGGATCTCCGCAGTGACGTCACCGTCCCGGGGCGAGCCGGGGGTGGGCGGGGCCAAGGGGCGGGCCGGGGAGGCGGCCGAGCGCGCTGGTGCTGATGCAGGATGGCTGGGCGCGCAGGAGCCCGGGAGGTCTGAGCCGGGCGAGGCTCGCTCCCTGCGCATCGCCTCGTCCGCCGGCCGCGTGGTCGCGGGCAGGTGGGCCCGGGGAGCAGCGCCGGGCCAGGGCAAGGCCAGGGAAGGCAGGTCTGCAGCCGGCGGGGCGGGAGGCTGGCTGATAGAAACCTACCCGGTTTCGGAACGGCCGGAGGCGCCCAGCCCGCCGAGTTCGCGATGACCTGCTGAGAAGCTTCGTTGGAGGCTGCAGGAGGCGGCCTCGCTGCAGGCGGTGCGGTTCGCGGCCTCCTCCCTCGTCTTACTGAGCCCCGGCCCCCCACCCATCCCCGCGCCCCCTCCCTGCCGCCAGCCGAGATGGCGGATCCAGCCGAATGCAGCATCAAAGTGATGTGCCGGTTCCGGCCCCTCAACGAAGCGGAGATTCTTCGAGGGGACAAATTCATCCCAAAATTTAAAGGCGATGAGACCGTGGTGATTGGGGTAAGTGTCCAGGACGTCTGGGTTACCCGGCTGCTTCGCGCCGCAGCTGGGCGCCCGAACGCCCTAGACGGCAGAGGTGTTCGGCCACCCCCTCGGACATCCCCGCAGGGCTGCCCTCTCGCGTGGGCTTGAAGAGAAACCCCCTCCCCTACGCCCTACAGTTCGCTCCCGGGCTGGTGGAGGGGCCACTGGGGGCAGCGGGCGGGCCCAGGTGTCTAGAGTGGAGGTGGGGGGCGAGGAAGGGTTCGGCGCCGCCATTGTTCGCGGGGTGGGGGCCCTCGTGGGCCTATTGTTCCCCGCCCTGGCCACGCCGCGTGGGTAGGGTGTTTCGGTTACCCTCAAGCGGGGTGCCCAGGCTCCCCTTAAAGTATGATCTCTGCACTCCATATATGGTTCCAGGCATCAGTTCGATTTATCGAACACTACCTGTTCTTCTCACGACCTTAGCAAAAGCAAAAGAAAAAAAGGTACTGGAAAAATCCTAGCCTTAGTTCGGAGCTCCCACGCGGTGTAGACGCGGCTCCCCGCGGCGTTTCACCTTGCTCTGCGTGCAGAAGGCTGGGGGTGTGGGGAACACTGGTGGCCTTGGTGTTCCCGGGAGGCCTGGTGTGTCTTCTGCTTCCTCTCAACCCAAGCTACCCTGGACGTGGTCCCCGGCACTGACCCCTCCCCAATGAGGCGACCCCCCACCTAGTGTCCGCAGACCCTCAGATGTGCTTCGCGCTGGGTGGAGAGTAGGCTGTGTGCCCACATCTGTGGGACTAGGGGGCCCAGAGCACATCCATATAGCCCCTGTCTGCCAAGAGTAGAAGTTACTTTGTGTGGCTGGGTCCCCCCTCCCCCTCCCCCCTTCGCTTGATCTCCCGTCCTACCTTTCCTTTCCTCCTCCCTTCCCTTCCCCCACTTGGCTCCCTTTCTGCAGCCGGGACTGCTGGTGGGGGCAGGGAATACCATTGGGTTTTAGTTCTTAAAGCGGTATGTCAAATGAAATAAACCAGCCTTTCCCCCGCCCTTTCACCCCCCGTTGTCCCCAGCGTGTGTAGCTGACGGTGCCCTCTTTGTATGCGAGCCGCGTGGGGAGGGACCGAGTTAATGGGAGCCTCCCGGTCCCCGCTGACATATTCCTGGCAGCCCGCTCGAGGCTGCTGATGCAGCCTTCCCGTCCCCGGCATTGATTAAGTGATGTCATCCAGATTACTGAGCATGCTCCGGCTAACCCCCTCCCTCCGATTCCCCCCAGTGGCTGGTGTATTTAGGTCAAGTGATTGACAGGTGACAGTTTCTGGAGGGTCCCTGCCAGCGTCCTCCAAGCCTTTCTCAAGCACCAGAGGCTGACGTTTGCCGGCCAAGTGGCCCCCAGCATCTTCACCAAGGTTGTGCCGCAGTCCCTGAGAAGGGCCCGAGGGACTAGCAGGTGCTAGCCAGATTGGTAGGCGGTAAGGCGGTAGGCGGGTGCTCTCCCTGAAAGGGTAACTGAGGCAATGCTCTGGCCTTTGCCCAGGGGCTTCATCTTGTCCCTCCCTTAGGAAGGCAGCTCCCTTTGACGACCTCTTCTCCCCTTCCCATTTTTACAGTCATCAGGAAACCATGACCTCCAAATGGCATGCGTTTATTCTAGGAGCTGACCTATCAGGGCAGGAAAGGGGGCTTTTCTCTTTGCTTAGTGTTAAATTGAAGAGAAGACTTATGCTACAATTATTGATGAAGAGGGGAATTCTATACTTAATGGCAGGATAGGTGATAGTGACATATCTGCTGCCAGTACATGGGGCAGATAGTAGCTTGTTTGGGTTACATCTCTGAGCTGGGATCAGCCTACAGTCAGATTTGCTATTTCCTGAGCCAGGCTGTAGTTTAGATAGAGTCGGAGTTACTGGGGACATCTCGTCCCTGCCCCTTACCTTGTAACAATTTTTTAACAAATAATTATGCAGCACTAGAACATGTTCTGGTGACCCTGTTTTTTTTTCCAGAGGTTTTAAAGAAAAGCCTGAAGAAGTTGTTATTTTTTTCTTCCTCTACCTCTCCGGCTCCTCCTTCTCTTTCTCAGTCTTGTAAGAGTGATCTGTGTGCAAGGTGGAGATCCTAAGAACCATGTTTATTTCACATCTAAGTATACATGTGATTAACTAAATACATTAAAACAAAGTCACTCTATGAGTAATTTAAACTAACAGTTGTGGGTGTGAATACACATGTAACTCTTCAACTGTAAAGGGAAATTTTTGATTATCTTACTATAATACTTTTTAATACAGCGGTTTTGAATTTTCTTCAGGATAAGTTTGGTTTTTTTTTTAATAGAAAAAAGCATTCATATAGTAAAGTGTTATCATAAGGGTACAGCTTAGCGAGCTTTTATAAAGTAATCACTCCCCTGTAACCATTTCTCAGACTAAGAAACACATTTTCAGGACCCCAGAGGTCCCATTAGTGTCGTTCCCGGTTATTAACTCCCTCTGCCTCAGGGTAACCAATATTCTGACTTCTGCCATAGATTAGCTTTGCTCGTTGTTGTTGTTGTTGTTGTTGTTGTTGTTGTTGTTGTTGTTAATAAACTTTATATACGTAAAACCATAGAGTATGTTTGCTTTTGTGTGTGGCTTCTTGCAGTCAACATTATGCTTGTCAAATTCCTCCATGGGGTGGTGTGTAGCAGCAGTTTTCTCCTGCTCATTGTTCTGTCGTGTCCCGTTGTATGAATACACCACGGCTTATTCATCCATTAACTGTCAGTAGATATTTGGATAGTTTCCACTTTGGGGTTAATATGGACATAGCTGCTATGAACATTCTTTTGCACTTTTGGTGAGAGTGCATCCAAAACAGAAGACTGCTAGACATTGAAGGGGGACTAGGATTGGCATGTGCCAGGACCCTTCCTATTCCTGATTAATAATGTGTAACTAATGGAAATGACCTTTCTAGCAGCCTGTAACCCGTTTTGTACACTGAGCAGAACGGCTCCCGAGCCAATTCAGTTGCAACCAGCCCATATGGTTCAGTTGCAGGTGGAGACTGCCTTGGGTGGGCATCTCTTTCTTGCTTGTAGAGGTGTAGATTGTGAGGATGACCAAAGAAGGCCAGAACCGTCCAGCAATGTCAGTCATCTTCACTCCCAGCAGAGCCGTGTAAAGAATGAATTTCTGTGGAGTCAGCTGTTAGTCTAAATTCAGAATCCCAGAAATTCTTTTGTTTTTGAAACTAAGGTCAATTTTTTTTTTTCTTTAAAGTTCTATTCGGGGTCCCTGTGTGGCTCAGTCGGTTAAGTGTCCAACTCTTGATCTCAGCTCAGTTCTTGATCTAAAGGTCATGAGTTCAGGCCCTGTGTTGGGCTCCATGCTGGATGTGGAGCTGACATAAAATTACAATAAAATGGGACTCCTGGGTAGCTCAGTCGGTTAAGCCTTGGACTCTTGATTTCGGTTCAGGTCTTGATCTCACAGTTCATAAGATTGAGCCCCATGTCGGGCTCTGTGCTGACAGTGTGGAGCCTGCTTGGGATTCTCTCTCTCTCCCCGTCTCTCTGCTCCTCCCCTACTTGCATGCTCTCTTTGTCTCAAAATAAATAAATAAACTTTAAAAAAATAAAATAAGGCAGGAGCAGGTGAAGAGAGAAGAGCCAGCGTGGTATGGATTCAAGAAGAGGTGGAGGAACTTTGGAGCAACAGAAGAGAAAAGCTTTAGGGCAGAGTGAGAAATACCTTAGGTGAATAAGTAAAATACCTTAAAAAAATAAGGTAACACCTTAAATATATAGGTAACATTAGGTAAAATACCTTAAATAGGTAAAATACCTTAAAAAAAGGTTCTGTTCAATTTTTATGGAGATGTATGCTAAAAGGGAGATTTTGCAGGTATAGTTTCTAGATTTTTCTTTTTAAGAAAATGTCCTGCCTTAGAGGAAGTATCTCCACCATCCTTGCATTTTTTTCAGCTCCTGTGTAAAGCTTTCTTTTTCTGAGCAGCCCAGCCACAGTCCTCCCCACTTTGAACCCCTGAAGCATTATTTTGCACAAGATCTTGTGACTTCTTTGTCTTGGATTATTATTAGTTTTATCATATACGTAATGACATTGTAAGCTATGGGCAGAGATAAAGGCCATCTATGTTTTGCTTCTTTGTATTTCCCAGGGCCTTGCCCATAGAAAGCACTTAAGTATTTATTGATCTCTTTGTTGAATCTAGAAATCTTTACTTTGGTATATTTAACTTGTTTTGTGGGCCCTTAATTGGCCTAGGGAGTAGTTAAAAAAACAGTTTCTTTTTTTTTTTTTTTTAATATATGAAATTTATTGTCAAATTGGTTTCCATACAACACCCAGTGCTCATCCCAAAAGGTGCCCTCCTCAATACCCATCACCCACCCTCCTCTCCCTCCCACCCCCCATCAACCCTCAGTTTGTTCTCAGTAAAAAAACAGTTTCAAAGAGAAGTGCTATTCCTTTGAGCAGACCTGGTAAGACAGCATATACTATACTTAAATGCCTTAAGAAAATTGGGAAAGTACTACTCTCGGCTTTGTTAAATAGTAGGAAAGCTGTTGACACTGGCAGTGAGATGGAAGTAGAGGGTGGCGATGACCTAGTGATTAGAAAAGGGACTCCACATAAATTAATTCTTCAGAGAAAAATATTGGATTTATAGCATTTCTCGAAGTACTCCTCCATTAGCTGCTGAAAATCCTGGTGAGTCAGCCACTACTTATGGCTCTGACTATTGGTTTTGATGTATCTGTATTGATGGAAACTCTGTTTTGGAGAGTTCCCAGTAAGTTCTTTGAAATGGATGTTGACACTTCAGTTTGCTCACTTGGGACTTTCCTCTTATTCAAAGTCCTAGGAAAGCATTAAGTTCTGACCTCTCTGAGAGCCAAGGCAAAACATCAGCCGTGACCACTGAGCTGGTCAGTGGTATGGAAAGTGGCCTCAGCCTGCAGGATCTCAGATTAGTTCTGGACAGTAGATGGGCGAGAAAGGAAGGACCAGGACAGAGACCAA